TCTTCTTGCAGGTAAATCATGAGAGGTGTGACATATCTCGTATATCGTATATCAGGGATGTTGCAGATGCTATAGAACTAATATAAAATACTAGCGAAGGTACGCGAAGGTGGTTCAGAAACGTTCATATTGAATACCTGTCAGCTTAGAAAACGACAGAGGATATAGACAGGGGTATGTTTGGAAGCTTTGCGTCTATCACCGCTACATATCCCACCGTGCATATTTGAGTGACGCCACTGCGGCTATGTATCACTCCAACTTCTCTCGAGATCCACTCGTAGTATAAACATTCCACTACAACTGTAACTACACCTGTATTTTGGAAATCCTACCACAAACCCATTCAGATAGCACATGCTCACTCCACTCCAGATATACCTCTAGTGTAAGAATCCCGCTGCAACTCTAATTTCAGTGTAGTTTAATACAACTCCGCTTCAACTCCATCTCTGTTTCAGAAATGCCATTCGGACGCTATTTTGAGAGTGTGCGTCCCATGCGTTTTACTCATCTCCACTCCTTTGTGGCACATGTACACCAACCGTAAATAGATAGTAGTAAATCGGGACTCTACAAATCGGTCAAAAGTCTCAAAATTTTCTCAGAAATCAGTGAAAATCGCTGTATATTGTGGCTTAGGTGACGTTTCACCCAGTCCACGTGAAGTGCCGTTAATCCCCTCTCAACCTTCTGCTTGGACCTGTCGAGGTACCATCAAAAGTTTGGTGACGTTAGCTATCACAGGACTGTCTCGGTGCAATTCCACCCAGACATCCTTTTAGTGACGGCGCCAAGGCTGGGCTAGGGTGGACTCTGCCCACTCTGAAGTTTTTTTTCAGATCTTATATATATAATGCTGAGCCCACCCTAGCTTACATTTATTAGGCCCGAGCCCATCCTAGTCTAAATTCATTAGGCTCTAGCCCACTCTAGTCTAAACTCTTGGCGCCGCCGCTATACCCTCTCTCAACCTCTGCCAATGTCTTGAGCCTCCATCAGTGGCACCAACCTCGTGTCGATGTTCCATCGGAGCTAGGGAAGTATCACGAAACGTTTAGCGGCGTTAGTCATAGCAGAACTGTGTGGGTGAAATTCCACCCAGATACTTTATACTGAGGCTCCATCAATGGCACCAACCCCGTCTCGATCTTCCGCTGGAGCTAAGGTAGTAGCATGGAAAATTTGGTAACTTTAGCTATCCCAGGACTGCCCGAGTGAAATTTCGCTGAGATACTTCCTCCTCAGCGTCGATCAGTCGCCAAACCTCTTTCTGCCATCCATTGGACCAGGAGAAGTATTATGGAAAATTTAATGACGCTAGCTATCACAGAAATCGAATGCATTGCGAACAAACAAACAAACCTTATTCTGTATGTATAGATAGATTTACCACCTATAACTAAGAGATATCGAAAGTAAATTGGTAAGATACTAAGGATACCTCCCATTTTCAAGTTGAAAAAAGTTTTTCGTGGATTTGACTTCGGAACACTGCCGAAGTTGCATATTCTACGGAAGGGGCTGCATCTTCCTATAGAGTTGTCGCATATTCCATATCTCTATCTGTGGCTTTCAAAATGAAAAAATGTTTTATCGAATATCTCAATATAGCGTTGTATGTAAAGATATATGATCTCTCGATCCTGTGGAATCATATTTCATGGCACCCACATTGAGATATATGCCGTTTATATGCTTTCTGTGAGTGAATAAAATTGGTTTGAATCAAAACGGCCGTATTATTGCTCTCAAAAGAATTATTTGTATGTGATGATGAGAGTAGAGTATGGGTGTGAATATTATGCTCATGTTATACCCACACTCACAAACAGACACCATTAAATCTAAACAAAAATTGAATTTGTCGAGATATCATGAAATACATATCTAGTTGTAAAAATTAAGTTGTTTATCTAACTAAAAAGATTTTAATCGAAGTTATTTAACTAATTATTTAAAGAAAATAGTCATCATACAACTTTTTTTGTTTAGTGTGTCTCTATATGTTATTCTATGTTACTTTGATAAAAACCGAATCTAAGACAATTATAATCTCGAATATAACGCCTGATACTTTTGAGAAGCTTTATTTTGAGCATGATCAAACTCTTTCATGTCCATGTTCAACAATAGCAATACCTTATCGAAATTTTACTTCGAGCAATGTCACAATGCATTCGGTTTGTTCGAGTATTTTTATTGAACCAGAATGGATCAAAGGATTATATTTTCCAAATGCAAGTCAATATGGAGTATGGGATTTTCGAACAACGGCACATTCACAAGTAAGTTAGAATTTATATTTTAACATGTGTGCCTGCCTGTCATCAACTAATTGAATGAAAAGATATGGTTTGATGTATTGACGAACAACAGAATGTTCCTCAAGATAGAGTTTGATGTGGATAAAATTAATAGAAAATTTAATTTTGTGGTAAAATTGTATAAAAGCGTTATTTTCTGTTAAATTTAAGATGAATACAACAGGTAGGGATGTTGATGTTGACGTAGTAGAGGTTGATTTTTCAAAACTCATCGCGACGGGGCTGCGAAAGTAGTATGTTTATTTTATCCACCATTGCGACGGCGTTTCGTTAGCTTTTTCTCTAAGGTCATGGCGCAAAAGTGGTCAGTTTTTCAAGTGCGCTGGACATCTCTGATAGCAGATCATAGTGCTATTGCTGTGTTGCGGTAGTAGTGGTATAAGCCTTATATCAATTATGCCGCAACACTGTGCATGTCTACAAATACTGATTTTGTCACAAAATCAAATTCTCCAACGTATGTGTGGGTATGCGTATTATAATGATCTATGACCATTCAATATGCATACTTCCACCTTCCTCCACAACGTTTTTCAAACCTTTACAGATAAACATTACAGAAGATTTGAAATATTTCAGCACACACAAAAAAAAGTGGCTGTGTGAAAAATGGAAGATTTCAGAACGAAATACTGAGAATACAATCACGCATAACTCATATAGTTTAAAGAAAATAAAAGTTTGTCTATATTGTATAGAATTGAAATCTATACACCATATTCTACTCATTCATATACTTTTGATTTTAATAGAAATAATTTAATATCAGACAATACCATAGTTGAAATTATCTGTACAATCAAAGTAGAATTCATAGTTTCATTATTTCTAAGATTACTCAGATTGAAAGAAATTTCAAAAACTAAAATTAAACATCAAAAATTGGAACGAATTATTTATTAATTAATTATCATTTAATTAAAATTTTAAATAAAATGATATTTTCTGTTCTTTGCCTTCCTTAGTTTGAACTTTTATCAAGTTTTTGTTCACTCTCAAAAGAAATTATTTCCCAAACTGAAACTGATATTGACAATAATGAACTGATTACTCTTTACCTTCTTTCTCAAAAAGAAGTTCGAATGCAAATAAATGGAACAATTGACTTACTGAAGAATAGTGCATTGTCTCAAATGAAAACATATTTAGATTATTTAGGAAACACGATTCGAAAAAATTATTTAATTTCAGCTCTCAATACAAATCTAATAATTATGACAGAACAACGGTATATGGGACAACCTATTAGTACACGTGCGCATCAGGTATTGTACTCTGTTGATCCTTATACATACCCTAAACAATGCGGTAAAGAGAAAATACAAGTCAATGCTACTCTCAGTCAAGTGAACTACGAATTAATCGCCGCCGGAAGTAGAATCTCAATGAAACCGATGCCAAACTCTAAAATTGTTAATGGATTCTTTACAGGATGTACTCCTCTTGAAGCACTTCTTGAAAGTACATTAGGTTGTTTATATCAGACAGAATGTCTTCAACTATTAATGGATTATTTTCCGATTCGTCAACAAGTTTGTAAACGATAATCGATTATCTTTGAAATATTCATTCTCTTTAGATAAATTTCCATGCAAAGAATTCAATTTTAACTTCAAAGCATGAAAATATACCTGTGAATGAATATTTAAAAAATCTTTTCATTATGAATTGGTCAACAGACACTGATTATACAAAATATTTCCACCAATGTTCTCCATCAAACTGTACATATTCGAAAAAAGATCGAACAGAATTAACTTATGGAATAACTCTTTTCATTAGTCTTTATGGTGGTCTAATTATTATACTTCGTCTTATTGCATCATGGTCTATCGATATTCTATCAAAAATCAAATGTTGTTCAAGAGAGAGAAATGAAAATTCAGGTAGATCTTTAATTGAAGAAAGAATATTTTATTATCGAGAATTTTTGTTCGATTTCTAATAGATGAAAATGGAAAGATATTGAAATTTATTGAATCAATAAAACGATTGAACTTATTTAAGAATGTTATTGATCGAACAGAAAATGGTATCAAACAACAAAAGATTACCACATGTGTTTATTTGATTTTATTAACTGGTAAAGTTATTGTGTCATTGTTTTTTATAAGTGAGAAGCTAAGATTCAAAGAAAGTTTCGATTAATTCATAGGTCCACAAGAAATTAAAGTTATCTTGGAGCAATTTTATACTATATACTTACACTCTTTAGCTCCCGCAGCTCCCTTTACTCCATTTAACTCCCTTTACACCCTTAGCTCCCTTTACTCCTTTAACTCCCTTTACTCCCTTTACTCCCTTAGCTCCCTTTACTCCTTTAACTCCCTTCACTCCCTTAACTCCTTTAAGTCCTTTAACTCCTTTAGCACATTGCGGCGTTTTAACAATTTTAAACGCCCTTCCTCATTCACTTCCTTTATTCCTTAAGCGTTTCGTAGTTCATTTATTTGCTTTTCCTTTATCTATAATTACGGAACTTCTTAAATGCCTATGAATATCTTTCATTGTTTAACTGAACTTGTATACTGAAGCATATAATCTACTTGTTCCAAACAATGTGTATCTTCTATAATGTAAAATGACAATAAAACTAAAAACACCAGAGTAATAAAAGGAATAGATGAAGGTACATATCACTTGATACATTTGTCCATCGATCAAAATAATACGTAACCACTCTTTATTATTGATCGTTCGCGATAAAACTTCCCTTTACGAAACAATACACATCTTCTTTTCCCACATAGGCGTTTATTGCTATTTCATTTAATGATTAATCGAATAATTTTTGTAAACGCATGAAAATCAAAAAAATAGAGAAACGAGTAAGAAAATGTAAGGAACTGCTTCCCACATAGACAAAAGTCAAAAAAAGACGGACAAGAACACGTAGAAATTCTGAACTTTTAACGAACATAAAATCCGGGAAAGCGCACGTTTTTATGATTTTTATCACCGTTAGCTTTGTCTACTGTGATAAACGCGTCGACAATCTGTGCTTTAACTTCTTAAAGTTTCTTTTCCAACAAACAAAAGACAGATAACAAACAACATCGTATAATCCGTTAATTGAGTAGTAGAAGACAAAGGAGAAAACAACGTTACAGCAGTAAAGAATGTTGGAGCAAAGAAGCTAAGCGAGTAAAGCGAGCCAGAGAGCTAAAGGAGTAAAAGGAGCTAAGGGAGCTAAGGGACTAAAAGGAGTAAAGGGAGTAAAAGGAGTAAAGGGAGTAAAATGAGTTAAGGGACTAAAGGGAGTAAA